TCTGCTTCCCTCTCCGATGTCATCTTTGTATACTTTTTTCTCTTGCTTATTACGCTCCAGCCTTTGATTTTCTTTCCTTTAAATTCAAACCTTAGCTCCAGCTCTTTGCATATGTTGTTTTCTCCTTCCTACCCCTCTCCCCCAATTGTTCTTTTCCAATTTCTACCATATTTCTACTGGATTAACCCCGAATGTCAGCTTCTGAGAAAGCCCTTCTCTGGCCACCCTGTTTGGAGTTGCCTCCCCAAGTCCATGTCACATCCCCCTGCTTAATTTCATTCAGAGCGTTTAAGAGTCACTGAGCTTACATAGGTCTTTGTTTTGACTGTTTCCTGTGCTCCACTGCAAGCTCCAGGAAATCAGGGAATCCAGTTTGTCCCACGACTTCTATAGCCCCAATACCCTGAACAATACAACCGTGTCAATGTCCCACCACAGAGAACCACCCCCGGCCTTTGCATCTGCTTTCAAGGGCAGTACCTGCAGCTCTGGCTCTGACATTGATGGTAGATTGACTGTCATTCAGTAGCCAGTACTAATGGGCTCTGGACAGTCCAATAGCTTGCTTTGTTTAGGAAATAGAGACAGCTTTCCATGAAATCATAGAAAAACCTGATGTGCTGAGAGCCACATGGTTTTCCCAGACTAATGCAAAGTTGTGCCTCTTGCTTTATTTGATTAGGCTAGGAGATGTTGCCTTTTCCGGGTCTTGAAATCCCGTGAGACTCTGATAAACATAGTGGAGTCTGCTCTAAGGATAATGTAAAGTGGTACATACCACCAAATTGTATAGATATAATTTCCAAGACTTCATAGAACTCCTGAAACCCCATCGTGGGCCCTGATGGAGAACACCTGCCCTCGGGCGCCCCTGGGTCCCCGCCGATGTCAGCGCCACATGCAGGGTGGTGGCCCCAGCCCTGCTGCAGGGGCTGCCTGGTGAGGCATGGGAACAGATCAGGCTGGAAGGGGGAGACCTCGTTGAGCAGGGCAGGGGGTCTGGGCAGAGAACAGGAAGAGCAAGAGAAATGCAGGTGGAAAAGGCATGGAAAAGTTGAAAAGCAAGAAGGAAGGTAAGATCGAAGCTGAAAGAGAAAGACAAGGGTCCCCGGGCAGAGGACAGATGCCATCAACTGCCTTGGGTGCTGTCTTGCTAACTGATTGGTTCTGACCCTGCTGGGCAGAGAACTTCTTTTCCCACATAAATAGAAGGGTTACAGAAACCTAGAGGCCAATGCAAGTATAATCATAAAGATCCACAGCTGAGCATCTGCCTAGCTGATGCGGTAGGGACGGTGTGGTAGGGAACTTATTTCTGTGCCCGTGCCAGGGTTCCCATCTCTTCCCAACCATCTTGTTCGCTGAGGAATGGACTGGGCCCCTTGCACATTCCCTCTGTGCCCTGCTCTTTGTTCCTTAACAGAGACCAGAGCATGTGCTAGCGGGCATCTAATGAAGTTTGAAAGAGAATCCTCTGAGTGAACTCAGTGTTGACATAGAGGTAACATGGTGAGATGACTTTGCAGACATTAGAACAAGGTCACATTGAGAACGCTGTGCTCCTTGGCCAAGTTTTGGTAAAGGCTCTTGTCCTTAAGACATGATTCGATGCACTTCAGTTATTATTTTGAAGGAGTATGGTGAGATTACTAACATCATTCATTCTCTCAACACATACATAATAATAATAACACCATTACTATTAAAACACTGCTGAGAAATGGTAGATGCAAAAAAGCACTTTCCATCCCTTGTCACAACCCATAAGGTATAGACACTGCGTGTGTACGTCCTCTTCAGAATCTACTTCCAGAAGTTCCTTAATGCAAATAGATGGTTCTAATTTTTATTTTAGTTCACTTATGGGCATTTTTCCTCTTGACTTCCTTGATCCTCTGTAACATATTAGATATAAGAAAGGTTTTAAACCTATACTTCATCAAGCAATCAACTTCTGGAAACCTTGGTTTCTTCCTCTGCAAAACGAAGATGAAGGTGTAAAAATTAAACATCAAATTGTTCAAGTTAAGTGGTAACGTACACACAGTGCCTGTAATGCAATTAGCATTTAGCAAACCGTGTCTATAGCTGCAGTGATTATTTGAGTAAAGCCACTGCATTCCTCTCGCACAAGCTTGCAACCATTTTCCTTATCCTTCCCACCCACGTAAAACCAATTGCAAAGTTCTCCTAGGTCTTCCCTGAAGAGTCCCTCCTACCTGTCCTCTTTTCCATTTCTACCCCCACCTTGTTCATTCGTCTTCCCTATTTCATCTTCTCTTCTCAAAAGATTTGATATTGGGCAACCAGATCAAACTTCCTATAACATACATCTTTGCTTCCCTCAGTGGCTCCTCCATGGACGCCAAATAAACCACAGATGCTGATGGTGGTAGTCCTCAAACTCACACCTTCCTAACATCATTTCCAGGGCTCCTGAGGAGATAGTCCGTACCAATGTCAAGTTCATTAAATCCGTCTTCAGGCCCAGTTCATCCTCTAGACCCACTTCAAGGTCTACTTCCAAGCCCCTTACCTCAGCTGCCCCCTGTTCTCATCACTTGTAGGTGGTTAGAGTATTCTATAGCATAAAATACATATTGAAATATACTTTGGCAACACTATAGAGGAACAATTAACAGCACTGAGGTCCAACAGTTGTGGTGATTCACTTAATAAAGAGCCTTGACTATATACCTAATCACAGAGTACTCAATACATATTTACTATCATTAGTATTTTTGTTTTGGACGTTTCTTATTTTCCTAATCTTTTAGATTTTTTAAAAACAGCTTTGTTGAGGTATGATCCACCCTTATAATATGTGTAATTTTCTGTACACAAAATATCTGGTTCTTAGTATATTCACAGAGTTGTGCAACCATCACCACTCACCACTACCTATTTTTAGAACATTTCCATCACCCCAAAAAGAATGTTCCTAGATGATAATGACCTTCATTAGTGGTGGTACCTTTTCTAATACTTTGCATGGTAAACACTGGATTTTTCACTTAGAATTACATGCTCACAAACTGATTTCTTATAGGTTCTGAATTAACTCCTTTTCATGATTTAAGAGTTGTTAACTTCATCATTGTAAGGGATATGTTAACTCTGTGATTGACGTGATTTGAGGAGATGGTTTTATACTCCAATTTTTATTCGTGTTGATATAAAAAACCAGTTTACAAGTCAGGGTATGCGTGTGAATAAAACAGTGGTTATTAAGTGATGTCACATTGTAATTACATTAATATTTCTTTTTGCACATTCTTGTGCCAGTAAGTGCTAAGAAGCTTGTTGAGAACTGCTTTGAAATCCTTTCATGACCGCCTTTAACTTGCCAAACTTGTTTATCACAGTGATTGGGAAGGTGGTTGGACTGATGAAAAAAAAATAACACTTTTTTGAGGTTCTCAAAGCACCTGGCAAGGCTACCCCCTGCTTTGCAGATTGAGCTCACTGAGGTTTGCAGGGGTTTAATGCATTTCATGCGGCTGTACCTCCATCCAAGAAGGTTGGTTGACTACACAGTAGAATATTTTTATATTCCAAAATATTCTGGGCTTTTCCTAAGTAGTTCCTCTGCTCTTTTGTCTTAAAACCATTGTAACAGTGTAGCCAGCCAGGTTTCCCCTCTCCTTTCCCCTGACGAAAAGACTAGAGGCATGTTTATGGTCTACCTGGAGCTGTATAGTATTGGCTGTGAGCTATGGGTTTCTTATTAGCTTTTTTGCCTGATTCTATTTCTTTCTTTTTCAGTACTTCTTAACCATTTTCAGTTTGAGTCATTTTGCTCAAATACGTATCATTTGAAGCACCTTGAGTTTCTTTTCCAACAAGATGTGTGATATGTACATAACTAATTTTTACACTGTTCATGCATTTCTGTTAGACCAAGTTACGTTGTATAGTCGAAACACCAGGATTTTGGAGAGAGCCACAGTTTGAATTTCAGCTTTCATGCTGAATAACTGTGGGACCTTGGACAAGTTTTTAACCTTGCTGAACCCTCTCTCTGTAAAATGGAAATAATAATCCATACCTCACAGATATGTACTGGGGATTAAATAAAATAACTCATGTAAATTACTTGGTGCATAGTAGGCATTCAATAAATGTCAGTTCCTTTCTTATCCCAGTTAATAATGCTTATTAGACTATATTAAAATCTAGAACCAGACTGTGATAATGCATTTCTTTATTAAGTATTTAAGCCAAATAACTAATTTCCCCTAGGGGGGAGGGAGAGATCTGTTGAATTAGTTTCATTTAGTAAACTTATTTACTAATCTTATTTTTTTCTTCAGCATTATTTAGTGTCATAGTCCATAATTTAGTTTTCATGCAACAAAAAGATCACAGTTCAGTATTCCTTTTAACTGTATTTAAAAAAAATCTATTCTTACACTTGCTGCTCATTAGAGATCATTATTAGTTATAGTAACAGCTCGACTGTATTTCATAATAACTACTTGGTGCTGACGAACTTTTTTGCTCTCAAGTTTCCCTGAGGTTCAGGATTGAAAAGGATCAGGTTTTAAATGGCCATGTTACACACAGCGAGAGAAAAACAGCGGGGGGAGGCAGTCGCACACCATCCGCTTTCTTTGGTGTAAATAACACACGTTAGCCTTTAAGTGGAGCCACGTTTTCTTCAAGGACGGAGCCCAAGAGAGGCCGGCAGGACGCCTGGGAAGCGACTGACTCAGCTCAGCTGCAGCTCCGTGGCACCTTTAAGGACCGGAGCCTGGGCGCCCGCTCGGCCTCCTTCCCGGCCCACCTCTGAACTCTGATTGACAGGGCGCCGCGGGGGCGGAGCTGAAGGAGGCGCGGCGGAGGCGCGGGGCGGCCGCGGGGGGCGGGTCCACCTCTCCCCGGCCGGCCAATCAGGGCGCGGGGAGGGCCTCCGCGCGCCCGCCCCTCCCCCCTCCCCCGGCCGTCCCGCCCTCCCCCACGCCACCGCCCCCTCCCCGCTCCTCCAGGGCGCCCTCCTCCTCCTTCGCCGCCTCCTCCGCTCAGGCCGTGGTTTTTCTGTCTATGTTTCTGGAGTCCTGAGCCCGAGCTAAACAAAAGCAGGAGGCTGCCGGGGCTGCCGGAGTTTGCAGGGCGCGCAGCCCGAGCTCTGCCCGCGCGGCCGGGGGCGGCAGGCGGCGGCCACAGCCCACCCGCCCGAGACGCTCTGGCCCGGAGTGGGGGCGGCGGGCCGCGGGGGGTGGGGGGAAAGTTTGCCTCGCCAGCCCCCTGCCTTCCGCTCCTTTCTCCCGATCGGTGCCTGTTTGCGGAAGGATTAAGCCTCAGATTTGAGCGCCGGGAGCCCGTGCCGCCTTGCCGGGGAGACCGGGCTGGAAAAGCAAGAGCCAGCTCTGCTTTCTTGGCGTCCAGTGGGAAGGTGGCTTATTTTTCTTGCTTTTTGGAGTCGACACCCTCACCCACCAGCCCTCGTCCCCACCCTCGCCCCGCAGCCCCCTCACGCCCCCTCCCCCTCCCCGCTCCCCATCCTCCCACCCTCCCCTCCAGAGGCAAAGGGGATTTTTTCTTTTGGTCTTTTTTTCCCCCTTCCCTGTTTATCCTGAAAAGGATCCGAAGACAGCGGCAAGGATAAAAAGCCTCGGCGCTTCCCGGGAGCCGCGCCGCGGAGCAGAAGCGAGGAGCGGGGCCGCGCCGCCTCCGGAGATGGACGAGCAGCCCCGGCTGCTGCACTCCCACGCCGGCGTCGGGATGGCCGGGCACCCCGGCCTGTCCCAGCACTTGCCGGACGGGGCCGGCGGGACCGAGGGGGAGGGCGGGCGCAAGCAGGACATCGGGGACATCCTGCAGCAGATCATGACCATCACCGACCAGAGTTTGGATGAGGCCCAGGCCAGGTGAGATGGAGGCTTCCCTTCCCTTTCTTGGGTTCGGTGTTTCCCTCCCTCTCGCAGGGGGAAACAATGGGAACCGAACCACCAGGGCGCTTTCTTTTTAGATGTTATTTCTTTTCCCATTTTGACGGGCAACTCTATGGCGGAGGAGTGGAATTTGCAGGAGGGTTGTTCTCGGAGGTGTAATCGCCCGTGCCGTGGTGTGGCTGCGCGTATACATGCATATGTATATATACACACACACACTGTGAGTGTGTGCGCGCGTGTGTGTGCATAGGGAGGTATCCACACATGTCCACACTAACACTCTGGCATGCCGAAAATACTGCCAACTGATTCAAAAGCGGCCCTCGGCACTTTTTACTGCTTTAGAAAAGTATCAGAGAGAGCAGAATTGTCAAGTTTTGAACAGCATTCCATGTCTTCTTGTCGAGGGACTCCGCAATGTTACAAAATAACACGTCCCAGAATACTTTATTTGCCGATTGACTTGACTCCTTATCTGACTCGGAGACTTTTGAATTTTATTTATTGGCTTACCCTTCCAAAATTAATATTTTCCCCATTCCACCCCTCCAAAAAAAAAAAAAAAAAACCAGTCCAGATGATTCTTTGTCAGTAGTTGTCAGCTCTCCAGAAAATATTTTGCATTTAATTCTGTTCAAAAAATAAAAAGGTGGGAAAGAAAGAACAGGTAATTTTGCTTTTAGACACATTTGTTAAGAGACTCAGCTATTTAGTTTAACTTTTTTGTCCCTCAGTTTGAGTCTTTTTACTAACCTTCCTTTGCACAGAATGTATGGTCCTTTAAAAAGGGGTGGAGGGGGGGGCAAAATCCAGCATGCTTTTTTTCCCGTGCTTCTTTCAGGACCACTTAGAATGCAACTAAATAGAAATGAGGGCGTGTGTGTATTTTATATTTCTATGGGACATGAAGATCTTCATTAAGGAAACATAATAAATAAGCTGTGCAGTTTCTCAACTTAAGGCACTGCCAGATACATAGTTCCCCACTCTAGGATTTTACAGTAAATTCTCTTTCAAAATGAAACAGACTCAGTGGCAACCCACGAACAGCTTGCCCGGGGCCCATCTCCAAAGGAAGAATTTTAAAAATCTGATGAGCACGTATGTCTTTACAGTTAATGACCCAGCTTTGTTAAATCTCGTAATTTTTTTAAAGACATGCACGCAATTCCTTTGCTTCAGCTGACGTAGTTGTATGGAAAAGATATCATTATATGTATTTCTGTCTTAGGGAAAAAGGAGTTTGAGTTGAGAAAATGAGAAGAAGCAGTTAAAACCATGGATGTTATGAAATACACTCCTGGTTTAGCTGCAAGCACATGCAACATGTAAACTCAGAGGTCCTGAGGTTTACGGGTGCTCGAAAACTTGGAAATGTTCAAAGACTGGAACTACCTTTAATTTCTTAAAATAGGGAAAGTTTAAAAAATCAGTCGGTGCTCTTTTTGAATTTTATTATCCGAAGAATAGCTAATAGGTATTGTGAAGTGTAAGACTTCCCACGGGTAGGCTTTTTTTTGAACTGGAACGGATTTCTCCATCACATTGTTCCAGAAAAATTAACTCAGCTGTACCAACAAACTGGTTTAATAACAAGTTTGTGAAGTGGGAAGGGCCAGTAAGACTGGAGACTTACCACTGTTGTGCTGTTTAGTCCCACTCCATTTTGTGCAACTGAGGACCACGGTGGCCTGGCGGCTCCCCCTTTCAATGGCCTAGATGCTGAGAGATCAGACACAATTTCGGGGTAGGGACATTTTCTGTTCTCTCACTATAACCCCATTGATGTACTGTGGAAATGCAGTATTTCTGTAAAACCGTGTAGGGTTTTTTCAATTTGTTTGATTTTTGTTTTGTTTTTGCCTTTGGGCCTATATATGAGAATAGAATTAATGAAAACTATTTGAAAGGCCCCAAAAGAGGTTTTGGTACATTGAAATCTTTCCCACCTTTTTTCTGACCCCCCCACATGAGAATTAAGTCACCACTAAGCTTTCATTTTGGTTAAATAATGTAAGTCTATTTAGCAAAATATATGTTTTACCTTTCCCTACTTAACACCTTCGTAATGTGCATTTATTACTTACAAAGCAAACCGTTAGTGTTTTAGACACAGTATGTGTTGATTTTGATACTCTTGAATCTTGAGCTTATTACTCGTGCTGTACGGTATATATAGAGATCATACTCCTGGTTTCTCTTCATGAGAATGTGTGTTGTGTCTATTTTTTTTTAACTTTCACAAGGATTAAAAAAGAATTGCATGTGTCAGGAGAGTTAGGAGTTTCCATATATCTTCGCACATTAATTTTAGTTCGTAAACAGAATTCCCATAACTAATAGCTGATAGGATCACTGTTTTGTTTGCAAAACAATATCCTTCTGCTAAGTGCTGCCACAGAAAAATAAAGGGAAAGGTGTTGTTTTGTTCTTCAAGTACATTCTGAATACGAACACATGCGAGACCCAGGTAAATCACTAATCTAAAAGGCAGAATTGTATTTATTTTTCCCCCAATGGGCACAAGGTCCTAATTGTAAATAATTGAATTTCAGCACCTGCACATAAGCGGTGTGTGCACAAGAGGCATAATGTGAACACAGAGAAATGAATTTATTCCCCATATGGGTATGTTTGCCCCCTGGCAATGCATTTCCATACTCTTTAACTTGGGGACTGAAATTTTATAAATTGACAGTTCTTCTCAGAAGACCTTTCAAGCATCTTGTGTTTATGAGAATACAGGGGCATCTGCGGAATGAATTCGAACACATGGATGAATTAAATTTGAAAACACACACACACACGCACACACACACCACACACACACCACACACACACCACACCACACACATCTCCAAGAGGCAGACAGCTCCTAAACTGTGGTGGTTGCATAGATTATACAAAACTGTTAACCCATGCTTTTGGCTTGGCCATATTCATTACCCTGGATAGGATTATTGGTTGAAGAATTCCACTTTGATTAAACTACTTAAAAAAAAATAAAAAACAGAACGCTGCCTAAATGGGCATAATTTAGGTTAGTTCTGTTCTGTAGTTAAATCCCTGCTCTCCCCTGCTAATTAACATTCTTTCTTTTTCTATGGCAGGACTCTGTATATTAAGTCATAAAACAATTGAAGCATGCCACAGAGTTACGCTTGGTGTATAATTTTGGCTAAACGTTCAGATTTTTCCCCCCTGTGCATTATCAGCAATTTGATCTGAAAAGTCCACCTAAGCTATTATTGCTGTTGTTTCTTTCTTGCAGAAAACATGCTTTAAACTGCCACAGAATGAAGCCTGCCTTGTTTAATGTGTTGTGTGAAATCAAAGAAAAAACAGGTAGGAATGAGATTCCAACATTTAAGCATTTTCTTTGGCCAATTGACTCACTTAACCAGCAATCATGAGCCCATTATTTAAATATTAAAATTTCAGGATAGTGGTACTCTGAAGATAGATCGCCTATTCCGGTAGGACGTCTTGCCAGCCCTGCCTGCCTTCTATGAAAGAAAGCACCCAAGTTTTTCTGACAGTTACTCTTACACATTGCTGGTTTATTTGCCCTCCCTGTGTTCCCGGCTTCTTTGAAAGGGGGGCTAAAACGTGGGTTCTGCAGGTGGAGCGTGTGGAATGATGCACCATTGCAGGAAAGATATGAAAGGGAAGATCCATTTCTTGAAAGAATATATTTTGGCCCATATTGGAAACTAGTATTTTTGGAGTTGGGCAGCGAGGGGCTAAACTGTTTAAAGTGCCCTCTCCTTTTTCTTTCTTGTCATTGTACAGAGCAGGGCGAGGGGGGTTCTCTGACGAGTGTTGTCAAGTACCTCTGTGGAAAACGCTCTACACTCTCAGTTTGTTGGGGTTTGCGTGCCCTGTGATTTTATAGCAGGGAGAGTCGCTGGCTTAGGAGAACATCAGGCCCTGAGATCACTCATTCTGTTGTTTTTCTGCATTCTAGATCTCATATCATGGACTAACACACTTACAACACATCCCAGGAGGGCCTTTAAATTTTAAAGCAACAATTAAAAAATAGCAGTCATCAATCAGAGGTGTTCTTAAACAACAGATGCTCTGGGAAGGACATTTAGCAACATCCTCTTGTTTGTTTATTTTAATACCTCAATTTTCCAAAGGGGGTGAATCTCTCCCTGGTAAAAAAGAAAAGAGTTGAGAAGACAGTCTGAAACCAGGGCATGAAGATGAGGAACGAGGGGTGGTTATATAAAGCGGGAGCTCCCGCTGGCCTCTGGGCTGCTCGCTAGCTCTAGAGCAGTGCAAAGTACCTGCCACCCTATTTATTTATTTATTTTTTACAACAAGGAGTGTAACAGTCAATAATTCATATCTAAACCATATAAGCAAGGGCATGACATGAATGAAAGTGACAATAAATATGATTGCATGCCCGGTTGATATACATTGATAGTCACACATAAAAAAAAAGGTCGGTGGGGGGGGCATACACAGGGTGGCTTTCTTTTTGAGCGCTCTCTGTGTTTCCCTTTCAAAAACAAATAGTTTCAAGATGTGACCCGTTGATGGAATATGTAATTACTTGGGCCTCAAAATGTATGTAAAATTAGCACGCAGCCCCTTTGTTGAATGTTAATTTGTGTTGTGCCTAACATTCTAGACAAAGCACCTGAGCAGTCATGTTCAGACCTTTAAGTCTTTAGATTTGCCTTTTGCCAAATCCTAACCTTATTGCCAAGCTGTTAATTCCCTTATTTTAGTGGTGAGACACCCTTTAAGAGGTGTATGGATGGTGCCTACAAATATCAAAGAGCTTTTTCAGTTCGTCACACTTTCTAGTTGGTTTTTTTTTTTCCTGTTAGCCCAGCATAGGAAACCTAAGTCTATGCATATTTTTTTTTCTTCTCTCCTTTTTTCCTTCTCATTTTCCTTTTGATCTCTGGTGCTTATTTACTTTGAATATTTGATTGGTTGAAATTTGTTTCTAATCTAGTATGTGTTCCTGCCTGTCTTGATTCATAAAATGTAGAAACGAGGTAGAAAGGCATGTTTGATAATCTGGGCTAAAGAGACTCTGGTTTTGAAGACACTTAATCAGATTCTTATTGAAAGGAAGCCCATAGGGCATTTAAATGTATACTGTGGCTGAAGTGTTTAATTCTAGTCTTCTAATTAAAACCTACTAAGGCAGTAGATCCGAGGGGTGGGTGTGAATAGAGATCCAGTTGCGTGTACTTTGCTCCTTATTCATATAGACTTATTTATGGTGATAGTACGCAGTCATATTGGTTAAAATAACACTCTAAAGGTGTAATTTATTGTTGGATTATATATTTTGCTTTTAAAATTTTCTGTCAATTAATGACATTAATGTTTGTAGATTTTTAAATATCTAAGTTGAGGTTTATGTGTTCTCTTTAGAATAATATATTGAAAAAATAGTTAATTGAGTACTGTAAACTGACAGTGGGTAGGGGTCAGTGCCCTTGTGTTAAGGGGGAAATACACGTGTACATACACACGCACATAGAGTTGTCGATTGAGAGGACACCCATGGGTGAAAGTAAAAAAAAATAAAAATAAAAAAAGAAAAGGCCTCCCTCCTTCATATTCTTCATTTTATATGTTGGGGAGGATTAAGGGGAAGGAAGAAACCTGTCCTGGAATGTTGACTGTTCTGTGTTAAAGTAGGAGACAGACAACTGAGGTGTGTGGACAGGGCCCTTCGAATCTAAAGCGAGGTCACTTCGTTACTCAGGATCTGTCTGTAGCTTTCATTCTATGTTCCAGCCTATCTTCCATGCGGCCGATGTGTCAGAGATGCAAAAAGTGTTTGTGAAGTTGCCGAGCCTTTTTTCGTCTTGATACGGAGCGAGTGAAAAGCTGGCTGGATGCTCAGTTCACATACATTCCCTAATTGTTTGGGGACTTTCGTTTTGTTACTCTCAAGCCCCTTTGCACTTAATGAAGATTTTGGGGCTTCCATCTCAGGTACTGCAGAGGTTCCTGGACTTGGGGTGCACTTTGTCTATGTTCTCACACGAAGTTCCCACCCAGGTCTTTATTAGGAAGACAGGATTCTGAAGAGTATGGCAATTGCATTCATTTAATTTTTGCTTTTTTGTTGTTAATGATTTTAGTTGGAAAACTCAGAAGTAAGTAGGAAAACTGGCTAAGATTGTCTTACCAACCTTTGGGAACTTTTAAAGAAACACATGCAAAACACCAAAGTGGGCAGTGCCGTGTTAATTACAGGTGATTGATGCATACCTAAGTCAGAAATTGCTGTGAGGAGGATATTTAAAAAAAAAAATCCAGGTGTCTCCTGGCTTCAGAGTGTGGGTGAGTTTTTATTTTGATAGCTTCTTGCTTTTTAAAATAAATGCTAAGAAAAAACAATGCCTGCAAAATGCTCTAGCGGCAAATCTCAAACAACAGCCAAGAGCCCTGTGAAGCCCTACAACTGTGTGTATTGCAGAGGTGGCTTTTCTCTGCGCGCTCCTTCTGGGAGCATAGAGATTTAATGCAGAGCTTTGGACCATTTAGTACCTTGTTTTCTTTTGCTTTTTAAGAACCGTTGTCTTCTGACATGTTAATAGCACTAGGCTGAGTTTTACATCTGTGTGTATGTGGTGGTGGGGTTGATGGGGTAGAAAAGGAGAAAAAAGTCAAATATGCTACATTCTTAGAAAGACCTTAGATTTATCTGTATATGTTTCTTGACTTTTTTTTACTTTTGTGTCAAAAATCATGCACATTTAAAAATGAGGAAAACAAAAATAATTGGTTGCCATTTATTAAGGAGAATATTTATAGATAGCAATGAATTGCTGTAATTGTTGCAAATAGTTTTTAATTTTAGAACATAATAGCTATATATGGTGCTTCTCTGCCACTTCTCCTGTGTGTTATCTGCACTGAAGTTAAATCACTGAAGGTTACAAAAATTATTTTTTTGCTCCCTTAACACCCTTTTGTTCTCCTTTTTGCTCTGTGTTCAATTAACACCCCCATCACAGAACTGTAGTTTTTTTTTTTTTTAAGTCTACTACTGTATTTCACTTTGACATGCTCTCTTATTATTCTTGCCTGCTGCTTCCCTTTTATATAGCAATTACATTATGGGGCTGCTGCTCCTTTGCTCTTTATGGCATTACGGACTAATTTGTGTGTGTGTATGTGTTTGTATAAGAAGGTAGAGGGGCCATCAGGGAAGGAAGCTGTATTCAGCAGGGAAATAATTCTGATGGTATTAAGGCCTTGAACAGAGAACAGGAGTGAGATAACTTTAGCCAATTTAGAAATGACTGACCAAATTCCTTTTGGGGTCAAAGTAGCAGGAATGGCTTTTCATAGAAGTTCATCTACAGCAGGCAAATGAAAAACTTTTTCTTGGTGATTCAAGTATTTGTTCTTTTTTTTTTTTTTTCCCTTTGGAAGGGGTAGCAAATGAAAGGAAGTTACAAGCCAGTGGTACTTGAACACTACCTAACAGGCACAGCAATGTGTTAGGCAGAGACAAGGTGATTAGACTATATGTTGTTTATTATAATCTGAATATAGGCTGTAGACCTACAGTGTGACTCTCAGAGGTCCACCATAAGCTGATGATGAGGGGGGACTTTCTTGCCAGTGACTTTGGGATAAGCCATTTTTAGAAGTGGATTTAGACAAATTCTGGCATTTGAGAGGAGGGGAGGAGGGTGCAGAAGGGATTTTGGTCATACCTGCCAGATGAGATTTATTGGAAATTTAGTGTCACTACTTCTGTCAATAGGGGAGTCTTATAAGGATTGGAAGTGAGAGGGATTTCAGTTGAATTGAGGAAACTGGATGAAGGTTGGTGACAGGAAATGCAGAGAGGAACTTGTGACCTAGGATGACTGGGGTGCTGGGAGCTGGGAGGAGTGAGGATGCGGCTTCCCAGCTGGGCTGCAGGCTGCTCTTGGGGTGAGTGGGGGCCCTGCCTGCTTGTGTGTGTACCCACTGCTGGTGCCAGGTCTCGTTGCCTGCTTTTGTCCTTGTGTTCTGTTGACCTCCGTGAACTCTTGGTGGTCGTGGTTGGCAAAATTACAAAAATCCCACCAAACAAGCAAACAAACCAAAACCTAGATATTGAACATATTTAAAATAGGAAGGCATTTTAATTTTAATTTAAAGCAAAATCCTGGCTTCTTTTGAGACATGCTTTACATGCATGCCTTAGGAAAACTTAGCCTTAATTTTGATTTCAAACCTCATTTAGAGGAATCCTGTTATGTTTTGACTTGGTGAAGTGAATTTACATATACACTTTTATTCCTTTTCTTTTTTATAAAAAAAAAAAAATCTCACTCAGAATGCCACGTGATAGAGGCAGT